TCAATCACCAAATATAATTTTTATGAAATGCGTCGAGGTGTGCTAATTAGCTAGACCTCTAGGGGTCGACTGATGGCTGAGGCCCGGACTTCTCGGGACTTGTAAAGACGACCAGATAAAAAGCTTTTAATTTTGGAAAAAAAAGAAGAGTTGCATTGGAAATTACGATGACGGTGAGTTCTGCAAAACGGTACATTATTGGACTTCAAAAATTTCTTCACAAGCTCAAAAGTATGCATTGAATTAGACGAAAATGCCTTATTCCTAAGACAGGGTGTCGTTTATGATACGATTTCTTAAGCATTTTTTCACTGCTCCTAAGTATTGAACCCATATTTCTCACCCGTAACAATGTAACAATATTAGCAATTTGATAGAATTTGGAAAACATTTTGAGCCATTGCTTAACACCCATTCTCAATATAAGGGCTCAAATGATGTCGCCTCATTTTCATTTAAAAGAAATACCACTGATGTAATTTTTAAATCAACATTATAAATAGTCATATAACAATGACTAAGAATTCATATAATTATCGATCTGAAAGGGTATTTAAGGAGTTCCAAATTCAAATATAGTAGCCTATTTGAAATGTACGTTACTGTCGCCGAGGCAAATATTATTCTGAATCCCCCCTGTGTAATATATAGTTATGATTCTCAAGTAAAAATTTTCTGATAAGTTAAACCTTGTATCATATATATTTCTTTTCATAACAATAAATACATTTTCTTTGTGATAATAAATAATTTTTATTGTGCAATGTCCCTGTCGCTTAATTCTATTTCAACCACATTACAAGCAAACACGAAGATTATACACCTGATAGTTTTGTTCTCCTTTATTTATTGATGGGTTAAATTTGAAATTTCAAAGGATTTATTACTCCTACTTAGATAATGTAACATGAAATTGAACAACTTGAGCAACTTTTATAAATATGTTTACGGAATGAAAGACATTTTCAATCGTAGAGATAAGAAAGAAATGTACGTTACCTATATTCTTCCATTAAGAATACATATTAAGTAGAAAATATGAGACGACTCTGAATAAGCAACCCCTTGTATCCTGTAAACTGGCAAAGACGTTTTGCTAAACACAATTAAAAATTATTTTTTACATGAAAAGTGATCATTTGAAATGTACGTGACTGAAATGTACGTTACCATGAAATTCGAATTAAGTGAATCTCGCACGAATTTTCATGTATTCTAATACTTTCACACACTCGAATGTGTACACAAAGGACAGGTTTCAAAGGTTGGAGGTCGGCTAAATCCCAAAATTAATGAAAAGAAACGTCTCTACTGAGGAAAAAAATACATTAAGATCAATTATTATGTAATATAATTTTGATACCTGGTATATATTTCTGAATACGAAACCTGTATGATGTATTTCTTATGATATGCAGGTTCAAATAGTATTAATATATTGCGCGTCTAACGTATGCTTGTGGAAGAGAATTCATTTTTATATTTGAAATGTACGTTACGTATGGTAACGTACATTTTATGTATTTCTAACTGACATTTTTTTTAATTTAGTCAATGAATTGCGTTTACACGAGCGAAACAAAATTATCGTTACAATCCATTTGACAACTGGCCACATCTAAATGCACCCCAATCCTCGTAAATGTTTTAAACTGTTACCACATGCTAGAAAATTTGTTTCTAAGTGTCTAAAATTCATCTTTGGCAACCTTTTTGCAGTTTGTTTACTTTTCATGTGCGACTTTTCACATTAATTGAATTGTTGTTGATAATTTAAAACAAGGTATGCATAAGCTTATAATTGGAAAAAAACAAAAACGAAAAAGAAAACAAAACAAAAAAGAAAAGAAAAGAAAAAGAAACAAAACAAATAAACCCAGAACACAAGACGGTCACGTAGATTTTAAATACTGAATACTCAGTTTTGTTTGAATCATTGCATTTTGGGTTATATTTTTCCAGATCTGCTAAAAAGCACGTATGTTTGTGTTTTGAAAAACGATGTTGCAACATACTAAATGAAATTGTTAACAAGACTGTCGATGGATATATTCGGAATAGATTTATGTTAAGTTTCAATGGCCAAACACGAACATTTGTTAGACCATAGCAAAATACATCTGACTCTTATATTTTTTTGTCTGTAACCTTGCACACAGTTAGAAGTAACTAGGCTACGACCGATGTCAATTTCGGCGAAACAGCACAAAAGAATGGTTATGAACTGAGGTGGAGGGGACTTTCCAATAATATGTGAAATGAACGTTACCGAAGTGATGTGACATTCTTGTAGCTGATGACAATAACCTCGTTTGTTACATTATGATTAATTTTCTTATATTACTGCATTAAAACGCTTCATTGATATGATTTTTATGTCAAAAATTGCTTTTTTCCCAATATTTTCTTATTACTAATTTACATATTATTACAAGCTTGAAATGTACGTTACCTACTCATATTCTGAGGCAATCGTGTCTTTATAGTGGTGATTGTGACATATAAGACAATGTGATTACATAGAGAATCTTTTTTTGGAATAAACTGAAACAAAACGATGAATTTTTAGATGAATTTTAGATGAATTTTAAGCTTTTTATTAAACAGAAATATATCTTGAAATGTACGTTACATTTACATAGTTTTCTAAATCGGTATGGATATATGTTAAAAAAGACAGTAACTTCAAAATAGAATTTTACTACATGTACATGTTAGGTTCCAGTATCTATTAAAAATGACAAGATTCCAAACTGATCGCTCTTAACAAAACAGAGAGAAGAATTTAAAGCATATTTTTAAAGAATGTTTTTGCACATCTGGATCAAAAAGTAACCTTTGTTTTTTGAAAGGAAAAATCAAACGCACGTTCGTATGCCGAGAAAATATGTTGCTGACAGAGTTGGTAGGATGTGCTGGTGTTAAGATGAGATATTCCAATTGTGATTTTAATGACTACATTTTTTTTGACATATTTTTTTGGACATTGAAGAAAGAGTAACGTACATTTCAAGCTATATTTCTGAATAAAATTACCCTCTACTTTATCGTCTTGTAATTATTTCATGTATTATAATTTGATGAAAAAAATCTGGAAACAAAATCTTCAGATACTTTCTTTAAAAAGTAAATGATAGAAAAATTTTTATCTTGAACTTCATTTTTTAAAAAATCAGAGAGGCATTTGTGCCCTTATATTGAGAATGGGTGTTAAGCGGTTTGTATACTCGTATATGTCTTTGGCCAACTGTCAATATATTAAGTGTGCGATATCTATCTGGCAGAAATCATTCGTTAAAACTAAAAGTGCACCTATGATAGCAATACGCAAACAAATCGTGTATGTACCAGCTCTTTCAATTATTTTCTTGACTTTCGAGACACAGTGATATGAATGATGAACAGTCATAAGTCGGCGGTCAGATTCTACTGCATGTTTGAAGGACTCTGCGGCAGTCAGGCATTTGCTTCTCCACCTCCGAACTGTCTCGTAAGATATCCTATCAGACCCATAAGCTTCCACAATTCAGTAAAAATCTGCATTTCGGAATTACCAAATTTTGAGCGAACTTTGATGTAATCTCTATTTCTTCAATATTTTCAACCCGTTTCCAACCGATTTTACAACAGTGGTCAGCGACTGAATTTACCGAAATGACTTTAAAATATGTCAAACTGAAGGCGCTTGTATACACAATTGAAAAGGTATTGAATAGAACTCTATTCAGATGTATTTCCATCCACGAATCGTACCATTCGCGTTGTGGTACAATACAATTGCATATCGAACACCTCTTGCAGTGATTCCATAAAGAGAGCTGATCTTTCTCTTGTATTCTTTCGATTCCTATTCCTTATTCTACCTACATGTACCTTTCTCAGCTCTTTAAGTTTCTTCTAGTTCGTTTCGGATTTTTTTCCGGCAGTTTTCCTATCTTTATCACTGTTTTCTACTGCACCCTCTGATACTTGTTATTTTTTTCTCTTTTTCATACATGTATGTGGATGGTTCCCTTTTTCCTTTGCCACCAGCCAGATGTGGCCTTGATATGAAGTATGCATGTCATGTTTTCCAATTTCTCTCCGAAAGACTCTTAAATTTCTTAACAGAAATTTTTCATTTCTTTGTCAACCTTCTCCCATTCTTGACAGGGTACTTATTTTTCTCTTCATATTCATCTTACGATTCCTTCCAGTCTTTTTAGCCAACACAAGTGGTCGAGAGTTTTATTTCTGTGGCATTGGTCTTGACGGTAGTGATTCCATCTGCCACTAACCAGCTGACACTCACTGTTCATTCCCCCTCTTATTACCAGTTTCTCATTCGAATTTCGATTGAAGGATCCTCATCACTGCCTGCCGTGATACAGGGCCTCAGTGGGTAGAGTCTCATCCGAAAGATTCGCACCTTTCAATTCAAAGTACCGAACACTTGGCAAAAGATCACTTGTTTTCCTTAAATACCATCTTAGGTTTGTCGAGTACTTTCATGACTTTCCACTCAGGGAGCAAGTGCTCTACAGAATGTGTTCCTATAGGGTTGATTAATTGATTGTATATTTTTTACGCCCCTTTGAAAATTTTTCACTCATATAAGATTCACCATATACCGGTGAAGGGCTTTAAGTCTAGACCCTGTACTCGGCACTCAAGTCTGTAGAGCAGTGAGGGTTCTTCATTTATCGTGCCAACGTCTGCCATGGAACAATGTCTCGGTTTTTAGAGTCTTATCCATAAGACCCACGAATTTCACATCAATGGGCAGAGCGCCTGGCGAAAAAAAGTTGCTATCTATTTTTATTCATTCGAACCACGAACTTCCGATCACAAAGCGAGCGCTCTACCGACGGTGAGTTCCTGTAAGATTCATATACATATGTACATGAAAGCTTGAAATTTTCCACATTTTTTTCGACTCCTGAAACGGAATTGAAAAGGTCTCAAAGAAACTATAAACCATGATAAATATCACAAACTGTAATATCATAGTACATTTTTAGTTTCAGGACATGGCAGAATTTTGTTCTCGCGCATCTGAAGTTGTGGAGAAAACTCGGGCGAAGGTTATTTGTAGTTGGATTATGTTTATAGTTCCTTTGATAAGCACTTGTCATCCTGACACGGCTAAAGTAGTGATAAAGGAGACAACTGCTAAACCGAAACATGAACTCGTGGGTTACAGACTTGTTGAACCATGGTTAGGTAAAGATTCAAAAGGCTTTTCTTTGATATCATTAAAGGTCAAATTATGTTTTTATTTTTTCTTAATTTTTGTGTGTGTAAGAATTAAAGAATTTTTTTTCAATTTGATACTCCATCAGAATTTTTATTATTTTTTTCAAGTTATTATGTATCCCTTCGATGAAGGGAGGGCATATTGCTTTGCTGCTGTCTGTCGTTTTGTGTGTCAGTCCACCATCGGTTTCCGTTGATTTTCTTCGCAGAGGTTGCACTTCTTGAAATTAAATTTGTTATACAGTTTTATCATAAGAATATCTAGATCAAGTTTTGTTTTGGGTACGATCGGACCATTTTGGACAGAGTTGTGCCCCTTGAACATAGAAAAATTTCAATTATTTGGAGGATGGGGGCATAAGTGTTTTTCAAACATCTCTTGTTCCAATATCCGTTACCTCTTAAAATGTACAGAACTACACTCAACAAATATTCGACTTTTGTATATAAGTTCAGAGCTGCAAATTATATCTTTCCAATATAGGAGACGGTTTGCTTTTGTCTGATGGAAAGAAATGGGAAAGAAACAGACGGCTTCTGACTCCAGCTTTCCATTTCGACATCCTCCGACCTTACGTAGACATCTACAACGAAGTGGCTGAAATATTTCTGGTAATTATTTTATCCATTTTCTCCTCCGATTATTGAAATCGAAATCGAAAAAAATAAGCAGCAAATAATTAAACGTACACTGGCATTTCTGGTGATTATTTTGAATTTCTTTCAAGGTTCCTTCCACATTTACTGTATACCGGTATCAATATAGTTTTCCAACAATATACAATATACCGGTAGTATATCGATTAACAACTAAGTAGCTTAGACTTACATATCCTTTATTCCTTTATTCACCAATAGATAGATCACAGACTTTTGTATTTGGTTAAATTTTAAAGGGGAAACTTCAGAAGTTTTGCGATGCCAAGGAGAGTGTGGAAATTTATAGTCTTGTCACCTTGGCGGCTCTAGACACAATGTTGCGATGTTCCCTGTCGTACGAAGGACACGTACAGGAGGAAGGGTAAGTTTCCAAATGAAAAAAAAATGATGAAAACATAGCAAAATTACGCCATAGCAATAATTCATCTAATAACAGATTTTTTGCATGTTGTTGAAAGATCAGATCATCCGTATGCAGAAGCGGTTAGAAACCTGGCAAGGCTGACAGTAAGCCGATCACTGTAAGGAGCAATGGTTTTTGTCTACTAAACATTTTGTTACTTTCGTCTCAACTGTTTATTTAAGAGCGAAAAATTTGGTTCCCCCAACAATGATTGTTATGGAATTAATTGAAGCCAAGAGTAGACATTTAATTGACTATTAATCGTTATGATGCATTTTTAAAATCTTATTTGTTTTTAGAAAACCCTGGCTCTATTTTGATTTTATATATAAGTTCTCGACTGAAGGGAAGGAGTTCTATAAACTAATAGATTTTGTTCACCAGTTTGCAGATGACATTATACAATCAAGAAGAAAGACACTGGTAAGTAGAGAAGACATGTTTCACATTACACTACGAAATCAAGTTTGAAATAAACAATTAAATCTTCACCCTTTCCCATCTATTAACATTAGATGGACCATTCACATATAATGTAGAATAAAATTCTGTTACAGGCTGATGATCCTGGTCAGTTACAGAAAAGAAGACGTGACTTCCTAGACATACTTATCACGGCAAAAGATGACCAAGGGGAAGGACTTTCTGACCTTGACATTCGTGCAGAAGTGGACACGTTTCTTTTTGAAGGTCAGATAACCATTCATTTTTTATTGCAACACATCTTTTGCAAACGGTGAATAGAACTTTACTTCCTTTTATACCTTTACATATTTTGTCTGGGATACTAGTATCAATCCGTCTTGTCTGTATCCTGTATTGCTACTGTGTCTCCAAATATTACATTATGACGCATTTTCTTCAAATGCTCTGACCAGTTTTTTTCAAAAATCATTGCAAATCGGTAGTTTCTAAATTGAGTGGATCATTTTACTTCAGGACATGACACCACCTCCTCTTCCATGAGCTGGGCTATATACAGCCTGGCAAAACACCCAGAGGAACAGGAGACTCTCTACAAAGAGGTTATGGAAGTGTTAAATGGGCGAGACAAACTTCAATGGTATTTAAAAATACATTGAGAGAAATGCAAAAAGACTTGAACTTCTACTATTGTAAAATCACATATTTTCGTGAGGTAAAGTTTTCGAGCTTTGAGGGAAAAAATTGGTTTGTGGGGATTTCATTTCATGGTTGGAAAATATTAAGCAGTAATGCATAATATGAAAATTTTATATTCAATGGTGGTCATAAATTCCAGGGTCTCTCCACACCTTGAAAAATCAGAAAATTAACCCCCACGACATTAGTGATTTCACAGTATACTTGAAATTGAGACGCAAAAAATTCCAAATGATCTCTTGATTAATCCATATTACTTCAGGGAAGACCTTCCGTCACTTAAATACATGTCGATGTTCCTGAAGGAGGTGATGAGGATGCATACTCCCGTCCCTTTCATTGGTCGGGTCGCAGACAAGCCACTCACACTGGACGGCATAACGATTCCCGCCAAAACAAAGATTGATATTCTTCTTCATACCATCAATCACCATCCAGACCTTTGGTCTGATCCACAGGTGAATACAAGATGTGGATACAGTACAATTTAACTTATTTATTAAAATTAAGTTGGTCTAGTAGATCGACACAAATGTGTGACACATAAAAGTTGTTTTTAATCTGTAACAGGAGTTCCGACCTCGCCGATTTGACGAGGAGACAAAACAAGACCGAGATCCCTACAGTTACATACCTTTCTCTGCCGGCTCAAGGTAAAGCGAAATTCATTTCATTTGAAGTAGCAAAATATCGAATTTTTTTCAATTATCAATTTTTTTTATGGTGGGGCCAATGTTTTAAATTTGTTTTAAAACGAACTAAGCAAGGTGTCAAACTTCAGTTCACTTTATTTCTCATAAATTATCAAAGGTTTTACTTTATCTATATAATTATATTGCTGAAACAATGAAGGAGTTATATGTATACGTTTTTAATTTAAATACACAATATAAGTTGTCGTTCTTACCTATCGGTTTTAGTTAGGCTTTATAAGATTGTGAAGTAAAAATATAATTAAAAATATTTGTAATATTACTGCTAAATATGTTAATGAGATACATGCAGTTAAGACACACTTACTAGTAATTAAGTCACCTCTACTGGTCACTTTAGTTTTGCTAAGATTATCAAATCTTGGCACGCCTCTAGAAACGGCCTAAAGACTAAGACTGTACTTAAGTCCTACTTTAGCACCAACAGATACGAACTGTTGTTCTCAGCACCTGCATATGGCATTTATGACTCCAATCTGATTCGATAAGCAAGAGTAAGCTCCGAATTCGTCCAGTTTGTAAACCGAGACAAACTACGAAGATATAGGTTGATAGTACACGGAATTCAACAGCTCCGTTTGAAGTTAGCTTTCTGCAAATTTTGCGATCTTTGAATTAATATGTTTATAAACACTGTAAATCGTTTGGTAGTATTATGTCTGACATGTTTCGTATCATTTCTTCAGTTTTTGCTTATAGAAGTATTCTGTATTATACATGTACATGTATATGATTACTACTATTTCATGAAGCTCACCGTGGTTATGACCCATCTCTGGTGTTAATAACCAGCTAGGGTCCCTGATTTAGCGCTCCATTTAATCAGTAAACACGACTACTTTAGAAAATTATAATTTTTCATTTCATCGTATTTTGTTTTAAAATAGGAACTGCATTGGACAGAACTTTGTAGTCAGCGAGGAGAAAGTCATGCTTGCGTCACTGATAAAAAGGTAGATTTAATTTGGTTTTATAACGTTTTAAAAAGGGATAATATGTGTTCAGTAATCTATTGATATATGTGTAACAATTACATTTACCTTAGTGAATTAATTTTTTAAAAACTTTTTTTAGATTTAAAGTCAGCCTTGTGGAGGGTCATATTTACGAACACTACCCACAGTTTGTCATGACTGCTAAATACGGAATCAAAATTAACTTGGAAGAAAGAAAGAACCATTAAAACACCTTAGACCTTGTGTTCCTCCTACATCACAAATTCTATGTTATTTAAATTATTTTATATGTTTACCTTACACCTGATATTTTTGTTATTTACTAATCTTGTTGATGTAAATTATTTTGTAATTTATTTAAATACTAGTACTATATTTGTACATAATAAAATATATGTTTATCATGTTGTGAATTTTGAATTTACTAGGGGGAGAAAAATTAAATATTGACAGTTGTCAAGATGTAAATTTTACATTTAACCCCCACCCCCTAAATTCAAAATTTACATCATGATAGTAATAAGAATGAGGCATTTCAATAATTTGCCCTTCTTCTAGCTTAAATTGTACTGTTGTAAAGTATGAATACTTATAAAATTACAGGTTAAAAATTAACCTATGATATTGTAAAACTTCATTTTTATGATATTGTATTCAATTCAAGAAAACAACTACAAAGTAGTCGCTTTCTCTTCAAGTATATGATAAACGAAATAGAAGAGCACAAATAAAAAAGGATATTATCGTGTACATTTATCAAATTGCTGTGCGCTGTTTAACTTGATTTAATTTTAAATCAGCAAATAAAATTTAGGTGTACGTGCATAATTATTTACTTGTTTGTGATGATATTCTTGTTTCATCAACTTGTTTGTCAATGATCTACCTCGTTTTAGAAATTGTTCATACGTAGAGCATGCTCTTGCGTATCGAACCAACTGCGATATATAAACTCCGTATGCATATTATCAATGAGGAACTGAAGCATAGTCTTAATATCAACTTCATAATACTTTTATGTGATAAACAAGTACTTTTGTATGACTAAAACATTTAAGATTTTGAAAAAAAATCATTTTATTGAAAATAAGTTGTCCGAGATATTAAAAATTCTTATCTTTCACCACACTGGGAAAAATGATTGTATACGTATAAAGCGTTGAAAAGACAAACGATTTCGTCAGTATTATTGATTTGAGAAAAATCATGTGATTTTAACATTTTCTGTACGTTCCATGGAGTTTTAAAGATCAGCATTTGTTTTACACCACTTCTTGAAAATGTTGTAAGACAGTATACATGTCTCTCCATCATAATATTTTTGTGATTGTAAATTTTGGAGCTTGCTGATATGGTGCTTCACAGTTGGAGTTTAGACCGGAAGCATTAATTTGCAGATCGCACTGGACTTTTGCAGAGGCGCTGACTTTTACAATTAATCGACAGCTTACTTTGCACCAGGGAAATATATACGGAAGTTCTTCTGTGAAATGAATATTTAGCTAAACTTTTGGCATTTAAAGCATAGAAGGAAACAACAATCCTACCTTCAACCCCTCCTTCCCACCTTGACCAACTCCTTCCAAGTTTTCCTTCCGGAGTGTGTTTCCTTCTTTATTGAATTCCTTTGGAATGTGACAATCCTACCATAGGAAAATGAAGAGAGGGATAGGAGGGGTGTTCAATATTTTTTGTCCCTTATGGCTTTCAATATAACTTAGATCATTCGATTCGGGATCTGGTCATCCATGAATGAATATATCTTTCATTGACATTGTCAACAAGTCCGTGCACTCTGAAACACAGACTTACATTTGTAACTGACCTACCCGAATACACTGGATATCAATCATGGATAAAACACGAAGTCTGGAGTCACTTGAAATAAGAAAGTATATTCTTGCTCGTTGTGTTATTGGTATAGAACGGAATGAAATATATGAAGAAATTGTTCAGATATATGGTGGATCTGTTATTTCAAAAAAGACAGTTCACAGATGGGTAAGCAAGTTCAAGAGTGGTAGAACAGATGTTTTTGACGACAAACATTCAGGAAGACCACCAAGAGCAGTCACCAAAAGCAATGTTTCCAAAACTCATGATATTCTTAAGACAGATGGACGATTTACCGTCAAAGAAATAGCAAGACGTGAAGGAATTTCAACGGGCAGTGTTTTTACTATTATAAAAACTAAATTAAAGTACCGTAAAATTTGTGCAAGGTGGATTCCACAAATTCTTACCAAAGCTCAGAAGATGGATCGTTTAGAAAGGTGCCAAAGACTTTTGAAAATGTTTTAAAATATGGACACTAGGAAGCTTAGTTAGATCGTCACAGGTGATGAAACGTGGGTCCAGCCAGAAAGAAAAGTAAAAAATCAAGTTTGGACTGGAAACTTAAGAACATAAAGAAGCCAACAATTGCAAAAAGAACTCAAACTTCTTAGAAAGCTCTATACACAATATTTGTCAACTCTAATGGCTTGGTAGTCCAATATGCAGTCCCATAGGGCAGAAGTGTCACTGGAAATAGTATTCTTCAAGTATACTTCCGAGACTGTATAATTTTTACAAAAAAAAAAGACGACCTAATACTGGTTTGAGAGGAATTAAACTTCTACATGACAATGCTCCTGTCCATAAAGCAAAGGTTTTTCGAGAATATCTACAGCGTCACAAAGTTTTCGAACTTCCACATCATGCATATTTACCTGATCTTTCTCCTTGTGACTTTCTTGTTTCCAAAACTAAAAGAAGCTGTCCCTGGAAGGCGTTTTTAATCGCGGTCAGCGCTGGCATCAGCTATTTTTCAGTATTTAAGGTATATTCCACAAAAAACTTACAAAAAAGTGTTTTTTGACTGGATTAAACGACTTCATCTCTGTATTAAATATAAGGGAGATTACTTTGAAGGAATGCATTAAATGATTTAAATTTTTATTTTGTTTTTGTTGCTGTAATATGGTTTGGACAAAAATATTGAACGCCCCTCGTATACTGTCATTCACGTATAGGGTATTTTAAGTAATTTTATTATTCTACCTGAAATCATCTTTTGCGTTAGTATATACGAGTAAAGTTGGTGCCCCTAATACCATATTTATATTTTTCTACAATGTCTGTAAAAATATTAGTTCCGTACCTCCGTACATAACGCAAGTTTAAATGTCAGAGTTGTCGTCAACTCTTACAGTCAGTGCTTCTTGCAAAAGTAAGGTAATGTTCTAGAACACCATTGCAGTTACAGTATTTACACAAAGTAACCTAGAGCAGAAGGAGATTGAAAGTTTTTAAATTACGCAAACAAATCGATATCATTATTTGTTTAAAATTAATTTACAAAAAAAGATCAAGATTCTCCGAGAGTTTTAATGTCATATAGTTGAACGCTGTCAATCTGGACATACATTATAGCATGTAAACCGCGTAATTTAGTACTCGTGCACTTAAATATTTGTCAGCTGTAGAGGATAAACGTGTGAGGATTAGTGATAGTGTTTACATACACACACACGGCCATGATCGCTCAGGTCATCGTAACGATATTTCTTGTGTATCTTCTATCTCTTGTGATTCATTATGGACGACAGTACAGACAATGGATTCAGCTCACCTCCAAAATTACTCCAATGGGAAAGCTGCATCCTATCTGGGGTCATTTTGTCTTGGTATGTTTTTACATGAACACGTTTAAAACGTGACAGTTTGACCTATAATCAGCTACATTTAAATGGTCAAGTGTGTTTTTTACCTAAAGAATTTTACCTACATTTCTATTTTTGTATCACAACTAAGCAAATATATAAATTATATTGATTGTATTGAGCCATCGATAAGATAATAATTAATTTGCTATCACCAAATAAAATGTTATCAACGTAGATGTTTTTATGAAATTATGCTCGTAACGAGCCTCGCCGTGTACAGGTAAAGCTAAATATGGGAATAGTCAAAACCACATTTATCTTGACTATAAATAATATGCATGCATATCTCCTCGATATCTGTTCGCTGCAAGAACCAAGCTATAGACCGTTTTAAGAGGGACCAAAAATCAATCCCAAAAATATACATACATAAATTCTTGTCGAACGGGATTTATATCGGCGAGGGACCTTTTGAGTTACACGAGTCATATAAATGGTGTATGAGTGTTTTGTATACTCAGTAGTCAGTATGTACTTTTGTGTAAAGTATTTTACTTTATATAAATATTCCTTATAAGTACAATATATAAATCTTAACCAAAGTAGATCAAATATATGAGGCAGAAAAAAAGATTCCGAACTCCCCAAACCTTTCAATGATGTGTTCAATGTCTCTTTTTAAAATCTTATGCAAAGAATTTCTAAAACATTTGACTTAGAATACTGTATTTTCTTCCTTAAGTTTGATAACATGAAGGGATACTTCAGGACCATTTTGGATACGCAGGAGAAAACTAGAACAAAGCTCTTCCACGGCTGGACAATGTTCTTCTACCCCAGCTTTGGTGTGTGTCACCCAGACACGGCTAAAGTACTCCTCAAGTCCTCCGAGCCCAAACCCAGACACAGCGTGGGCGGATCCTACAGGTTCCTCTTACCATGGTTAGGTAAAATCCAATTTAGCATTCAGTTTATCGACTGCGCATGCTTATAATTTGTATTTCGGCAGAAATATGCATTTTTCATAACAGAAGAGAGGATTTTTACATTTCTTATGCAATGCATTCTTTCTTCAAATTTAATCTCAAAATAATTTAAGTCATCATGGTTAAAGGTTGATTACATGTGGACAATTAACGAACTTTTAGATTTCTTATCGGTTATGCGAATTTTACTATACACTCGAATGAAAAATATTAAGAAACACTTCTTGAAATTTCCTTCCTATTTATATACAGTTCATTGCCAGAACTGTATGATACAAAACCAACATTACCACCGAAGCTTCAAATCATCATTTCTTGCCCTAAAATAGTAACCTGACAACGTGTCTTCTTCGCAAACCGGGTAAATGGAAAATTTTATAAACCACCTAATAGAGTCATCTTTGAAAAAAGGTGTGGTTAATCGAATAAATAAAATGTAATACAGCAATGTTCAACAGCGTGAAACACCCAGACCTATGTCACTGGATCACCAAATACATAGCGGTGGAACTTTTTCAAAGTATTGAAATGAATAAGGTAATTTTACTACTGGCATTAAAAAGACGTAGGGGATATTGTTGACAATGACAATGAAATGCAGACCATGAAGTCAGGAAGGAAAAAATATTAAGGAAACATTTGTCAATTTATTCGAAACTCTGCATACATTCAGAAATGGACAGATTCTCCAGAATAAGGATTGACACAAACACAGTGTCACACAGGAAATTTACCACCATTGTGAAACAGAGTCAGTAGCGGGTAAAACAACTCGGTTGGCCAGACAAGCTCGTATTCAGCGTGGCATACTCCTAACGAAACGCCTAGATCAGGTTATTTTGGGGAAGGTTATTCCATTTCTATTGCAATGCTGCTTCAAGTTCTTGGACATTGGTAGGAGGTCATTGAAGTTTGTGTGGCTGCTGTCCAAGAATGCCAAAGACAAGCTCGATGCATAGGAAAAAAAGTCCGGACTGAGTGCGGGTCATAGTAATTCGGTGATATTCTTCTGTTGTAGATAATGACCCTGGTCCTAACATCTGGCATTGTCATTTTGAAAAATGAAACGGTGGCCATAACGACATGGAAACGGCACAATATGGGGTGCCAAGATGTTGTTCCGGTAGTACTGCCCTGTGACACGTCCAGTAACAATATGCAAGTATGTTCTGCCGGCAACATTGATGCCTCCCCACACCATTACAGTTCCATTCCCATACTGATCACGTCAAATGACGTTAAAGTCATGGAAACGTTCTTTACGTCGGCGCGAAACCCTCCTTTGTCTGTACAGTAAGTCCACAGTGAAACTCGACTCATCTGAGAATATTACGTGGCTCCACCGTCGATTATCCCACCTTTGATTATGACGAATCCATTGGAGTCGAGCCCTAATGTGACGATCCCTCAAACAGGGAATGACAAGAGGACGTTGGGCGTGTAAGTGAAATCTGTGCAGTCGATTCCTGATGGTCTGGTCCCTCACTACCAAACCAGTATCCCTTTGAAGTTGAGACCTTATCTGATTTGTTGTGACCAGACGATTTCTCAAGGAAATAGTGTAGTTGAATCTGTGCTGAGCCTGAGTTAGTGCCCTTGGTAGTCCAGATCTTGGTCTATTCTGAACAGACCCTGTAGCACGATGTTTGGATCATTATATGCTGTTAACAGACTGGAAAACATGCATTGCATATGCTACAGCGACCTGTCTTGTGCCAACCAGTAGCATTCTAGTATTAGAAGGCGCATATTCTCTGTTTAATTTACGACTTCAACAACTGATGATCTTATGTTTTCTCTTCAAAGTCTTTCTGTAGGTAGGCTTAACCTTCCAATTCAGAGGCATGCAAATTTGTGGCACAACATCCTTGATCATCAGTAGCATCCCATGCAGATCGTGAGTGTGACTGATGTGTTTGGGTGATGAATTTCGTCAGAGAACTATATGGTTTCGTATTCCTTTGTATACATGTATTGTATATGACTAGTCACTACATTATCTCCGGCCCTTATTTTCTTTTAAAATATAGTTATATGATCCGTTATTTCCATAGTTTGGCAACATGTTATATGAGACAACTAACAGTCATCAAGCTGAATTAAAACTATACAAACTGGGAGTCGAGTAAACACGAACCTTTAAAATCATCATAGATGGGGTCGGGTACCATGGAGGAGTAAGCACTCTATGTCAATAAGTCTCACCCTTCGTGGGCTACTTGTCGTGATCGGGCGAATGGAAGAATCCATAGTAGGTTCAGTATGTCATTTAGGGTCTACTAATTGATATGCAAAATTTCAGTCAGCATTCGACGCATTGATATATTGTTTTATATGTCAAAGTTATTCTATCGACCTTATGTCCAAATGGTCGAACTTATTCAGATTGATTGTATATTGTTTAACGTCCCATTCGATAACATTTAAGGACTTCAACTTTAGACCTATACTCGGCACTCAGAACCATTGAACAGTGAGGGCTCTTTATCGTGCCAAAGCCTACCGTGACACGGGACCTACGTTATCAAGGTCATATCCGAGAGACCTCTGACTTTCAATTCTAATGAGGAGGGCTTGGCAAAAGAAGAGTCACTACCTATGTTTACATCTTTGGTTTGACGCGAACGAGAATCGAACAACCCGGGCCTCCCGATCACGAAGCGAACGCTCTACCACTAGGCTACCGTGACCGGTAACTAATTTAGATTGGTTGATTGATTGTATATTGTTTAACGTTCCTCTCGAGAATTTTTCACATATATGGAGACGTCACCACTTGCCGGTGAAGAGGTAGAAATTTTGTCCTATATTCGGCACTCAGGGCCATTGAGTAGTGAGGGATCATTTTCGTACCAGCACCTACTGCGACACAGTCTCATCCGAAGGACCGGTCTCCACGTCCCACATTGGGAAGCGAGCCCGCGACTTAAGGATTGACTCCTTACTTCGCGACTCTAGAGCAAACGCTCTAACCATTGCGCCACGCGGGTGACAAACTAATTTAGAAGTAAAGTTCTTACTACTACTGTCCCTCAGGAATATACTCAGTAGACCACCAACAGAAATTATCCAGTCGTCCCTATCCTGAACATTCTTTTCAAGTTCTTTCCAGGTGAGTCCGAGCTTTTTCCTCTCTGTTTACATGTAACTCTGTTGTGGTCGTTTCCTCTTTCATTTGCTTGGATTGTCATTAATAATGATGGTTGCTGGTTGAAGTGTTAGGGACAGCCATGTGCAAGAATTCAGTCTATACTGCTAGTTTGTCTCATGATAAGTAGTAGTCCATGTTGATGGTGTTCGAAATGCTTATCTGATAGTATCTCAATTGTTTACCAACGATTTAGCGTGCCAGATATTCCTAAAAAATGTCATCATAAAGAGTTGATAGCAAATTAAAAAACTTGACATGATAAATGAGAGAAAGGATTGAAATATATGGGAAAAAGAAAATTCAGTTGTCTTAAAGACCAGGAAGAAGGGATAAAAGACAAACCAGCTAACTGTAGAAATTATATTGCAACAATGGTGTTGAGGATGGTTGTCCCAAACCTTCCGAAAACCCTCAACCAATAACATGAGGCACAGCATTACCAGGAGGCCAATCAAGCAAAAGCAAGAACGATCAAGAACTCTTAGGAAAGAGATAATTAAGAGAAGCTCACCTGAATATAAAGCTCGGGATAGGGTTGTCATGAGACGACCAGGTTAACCGTTTATACTATATATTGATCCTATCCTTTTTACGTCACATTTAGTCGAATGTTATATTAACTTTAACCACCTCCTCCTTACTCAAGACGAATAAGTTTCTTATACTAATAATTCATCAATCCCCTTTGATAATATACTGTTTTGTGCTTGTTATAGGCGATGGCTTACTGTTGTCAGACGGCCGGAAATGGGAAAGAAACCGGCGTCTTCTAACTCCCGCCTTTCATTTTGATATCCTGAAACCTTATGTTCAAATCTACAATGATGTTGCAGACATTTTCTTGGTATTGCATTAGATATCTTTTATTTTTTAAGTTGCAAATTGTAAATGTAACTTTTTTCTTCAAGAACTTTTTCTGTGTAATACTTTTCACTAATTATATGTAACATTTTACAGGAAAAACTACAAAAAGCCTGTGACTCTAACCAGAGTATAGAGATTTATAAGCTGGTATCACTAGCAACACTGGACACCATGTTACGGTGCTCGCTCTCCTACAACGAACGGGTTCAGGAAATGGGGTTTGTCTATTTTTTTAAAAATTTAATTTCAAGTTTCAAGTCCCAATCATGTAGTAATTGGGTTAAAATCTTATTTCATTATTAAACTGTGATACCAGATGTTTTCTTCATGAAAAATCTTTAAAGGCAGCAAAATATTGATAATCATATTGTGCTCATAAACTTCCTTGAATGGGAAATACAAGTAATGGGTGTATTTAACTCTGAATTATAAAATGTTTAAGAAGGCTTAAAATAATTAAGATAGAGTGGTGCAGCTTTATATACATTTTTATTTTATTTTAAGTTCTGGGGACAGATCACAGAAATTGCATAAATCCATATAATAAGATCATTTAAAAGGTTTTTTTTTTTTTTTTGTTTGTTTGTTTTTTTTTTTTACAAATTGTTATCATTATCCATATCTGACAAACTGTATCCTTCATATAATTTCAGAGACAGTCACCCATATGTGGAGCAGGTCAACAGACTGACTACTCTAGCCATTAAGAGGATGATGTAAGTACACGTTTCAAAATAGTAGTATTTGCTCTAAAGTCGCAGAGAAAGGAGCTCTACCTGACGTCGCTGTATCCCTCCTCATCTCCTCAGGAGGAGGTAGGTATTTTCTGTGTTTTGTTGTTTGGTACTAGATGGCGCTTCAGTTAATCGTTGCTGTATCCCTCTTCATGTCCTCAGCTGTAGGAGGTTCGAATCCACTGTGAGATGTGGAAACCGGTACTTCAGATGACACCATACATGTCTCAACTAACCGTGCCGAAGAAGGTGTTGGGATCGACAAAAAAGTTCCACGAGTGCCGATTTAATGTCTATTTTCAGCCATACACTGTGGTGGGGTCTTCATATGAGTGAAACATTTTCAAAAGGGACCTTTAACAAAAAGCGAAACATATTTACTATACATGCTAAATGTTCCATCGTCATAATCACTTTTACCGAGGCAGTCCCTGTGTTTTAAACAGATTGAGAGCGAAGTTAGTATCTGATCAACTCCTTCAAGGAGCATTCTGTTACCCTTTACCTACCTACACCTACCTACCTATTCATTGTTATTGTCCGGGGGCACATAGGGCATGGACTAGATTTCTCCACTTCTGTTTATAACTTGAGCATTTCTCTCCAGTTCTCCCAAAATTAGTTTGTGGTCTTTCATTTTCTTTTCTACAGTCCTTCGCCAGGTGTTCTTTGGCCGATCAGGTTTTCTCTTCCCTTCTGGTGTCCATCGAAGAGCTATTTTGGTGATGTTTTGGCCGGGTTTCTTATCACATGCCCAATCTATTGCCGTCTCCGTTTAAAATTACCCATTAATATAGAATTTTAGAGTATATTTCATTTAGCAATTTATGTCAACATGAACCTGAAATAGTTGCACTATGAAAACAAAAACTTAAGATAAATACCTTCATATTCCATATAATTCCCCAAAAGGAAAATGAGAGAAACTTTTATCAATTATTCAAAGAATATCTGCTTAATTTTTGGAAGAAGATATAAGGTTTTGCAATTTTGTATGTGCTGTTTGCCGTTCAAAGACCTAAATATTTCATATTGTAGAACACCATGGGTGTACCCTGATTTTATGTATGGATTAACAGCCGACGGCAGAGAAAACAAAAAGCTGACTGATAGTGTTCATCAATTTGCAGATGAAATAATTCAGTCCAGAATTAGAGCATTGGTATGCTTCCAGAAGTAAGATATGATCCATTGTATATTAAACAATGTAAAGGCCCATCACATACACAGCTGCTTTTAATTGTCTTCAACAGCAACTTGATCCGGATCATATCAACAAACGTCGTAAAGATTTTCTGGATATTTTGATAACAGCAAAGGACGAAAATGGCAAAGGTCTCAGTCCAGAGGAAATCCGGGCTGAAGTCGACACATTTCTTTTCGAAGGTTCTGAATAGTTTGAAGTGTTCTTGAAAGTACAATATAAAATATTACATGTATTCCGAAATTTAGAATTTCAATGTTTTAATTGAAGAAATATTGAAATTGTTAATACTTATTGTGTAATTTGTTTCACTACTTATAATAAATTGATTCTTTTATACCAAATAGATAATTTTAAATTGTAGAATAAGTAACCAACTGCTAAAAGTGTCCCCACTGTAATTAGTTCTTGTACTTGGCCAATAAAATAAAATGTTCATCACATATATTTCTAGGACATGATACCACTGCGTCCGCCATTAGCTGGGCAATTTACTCCTTGGCAAAATATCCAGAAATACAAGAAAAAGTTCATCAAGAAGTTGTAGAAATCCTAGGCGAGCGACAGCATCTACAATGGTAAGGATAAATCTTTAGAAAATAGAAACATTTTGTCTGAACTCAATTTCTAAGTGATTGAATTCAACCGTTCAAGCAATTCTTGACCTTGACTATACATGTTGTCATTTCATTCTTGGTTTCAATACCGTTTACAACAACATCTCTATATACGATTGCATTCCAATCACACCTTAATGTTGAGACACCGACTTTTTTCATTACCTTCAGCTCAAATTTCAAAGTTTCTTTGTTGTACAAATTTGGTCCGAATGGATTATTTAATTACACATGTAAATGAAGTTTTTTTCTTCCATCGAAAAATGAAAGACTGTTCTATTTCATTCTAAGTGGATGAGTGACAAAGCTTTCTGTTTTTATCTAGATAAATAAATAGATTAATACTTTGAAAATTTTCTTTTGGTATCTCTGTTTTTAAAGGGATGATTTGAGTCGGTTGAAATACATGTCGATGTTTCTACGGGAGGTGATGCGGATGCATTCTCCGGTCCCGGCGGTGAGTCGGTATCTAACGAAGCCCCTCTGTGTGGAGGGACTGGAGATCCCTCCTTATTTCGCTCTAGATGTCGTCATACACGCAGCCAATCACCATCCAGATGTATGGCCTGACCATATGGTAAGAAACGTTATGTTACTTTAATCATATGTACAACAACATAAGAAGTAATCTAGAAGCAAGAAGGACTTTCATCTTAATTTTAAAAACTTGTTATGAATGTCTGCATAATGAATTTAATGGAAATATTTTCCATTTGTCATGGTTTGGTATAACTCAAGATTTATACTTATTTAATTGTATCTAATTTTGGATAAATATCGTCGACTTCTGAGTTATTGAATGACATTGTGTAATAACTACTTGCAGTACATATATTATTATAAAGACGTCGTTTATATATTCGTCGAGTGAAATAAAAGGGCAAGGGTTTTCAAAATTTCATTTTTAGAGTAAATTCTGCTTTATAAGTATATAGAAAACATGTCGGTTAACAAAGGAGCACAAGAAGTGCTCTTTGGAATTTCATCTCATACCGAGTATGAATCCTGGTGAAAGCATTTCGTATTTTTTTTTAAATGATTTATTTTGAAGCATATACATATAGCTTCAAAATGCGTAAAATCCAATAGTTTTGAATTATTTAAGTCATTTTAGGATTTTAAACCAGAGAGATTTGAAGACGAGGCTAAATTATCACGTGATCCTTTTAGCTACTTCCCATTTTCTGCTGGTCCAAGGTAGGAGTAAATATTTCAAGCCTGATTTATCACTTACTTGATGTTTTTGCTTAATTTATTTTATAGAAAACATACTTCCTTTATACTCTGTATCTTTTAGAAACTGCATTGGACAGAATTTTGCTTTCAATGAGCAGAAAGTTATGATCGGATCATTGCTTAACAGGTACTAGTATATCTGCAGATGTTCTGAGATCATACTTATAATCTTTTTATTTATGATTTTTATGTTTTAATCGTTTGTTCTATCTGTGTCTACAGATTTAAAGTAAGCTTAGTGGACGGACATGTTTATGAAGAATTCCCGGATGTAGTGATGCGATCAAGATATGGCATTAAGATAAATTTAGAAGAAAGGAAGTAGCGAGTACATGTGCATCTATCCACATTCGTTTTAAAAGTACTTAGTTTAATAAGTAACTTCAGGAATCTAATGAATAATTCAGTAGCGCGGTACATGCAGACAACATCATTGTGCAAGAGACGGATAACCCAAATTATTTCAATGATCACTAGAATTCAGGTGCTATATATTGTATTGTGATTTCGGACGGATTTTATGAGAAATACGTTTTCTAGGTTTCCCTGGCTAAACCATCTATAATAATCTGATAATTCTAGATAATATGGTAGAAATACATTTAAGAAAATGAAATAGTTGTTACCTGAAGAATGAATGTAACAAACATTAATCATGTAAACTTCAGAGATTGGACCAGGTGGCATGGAGGAGTAAGTATCCCCTGTCAACTGATAAATCCACCGTAAACTCTTCCTTTTGACTGTGTACAGACGGATGTCAGTTCACTATTGAAATAAAAGCCAATTATTTGTATAAAAATCCCGAAAGAATATTCATTTTGACTGAATGCGATCTTTGATACCCTTGTAACATCAAGTTATTTGTCAAAAGCTATAACTTGGCTGTGTGTCTGTGTGTAGAAATTAATTTTATATCGAAATTGTTCTTGTAAAATTATAAAAGGAGCAAAGGAGACATTGTGTATGAAATAAAGAACAGTATTAGAGCTTAAAAGTCCATTAAACGATAATAAATAGGAGCGGAGCAAACATGGACCTCCAAAACATTAGAGGTGGAATCAGATGCAATGGATGAGTGAGCATCCCCTGTCGACCGTTCACACCCCTGTGTGCTCCTTGTCATGACTGGGAAATAGCTGGAAAAAATCCGTGGACAAGTCGATGTGTAAATAATGTCTTAACAATCAGTATATATGAGAAAAGTCAGTCAGCATTTGACTCAATGTTAAATTGTATTCGCTGATAAGGTCATTGTATCGACCATAGAACTTACGAACTGATGACTTTAATCGAGACTGCTGATATACTTGTTTTATCAACTTGTTTGTCAACATCTTACCTCGTCTTAGAAATTGTTCATACGTAGAACATGCAATTCCGTATCGAATCAACTGAGAGATATAAACAAAGTATGCAGGTGACAAAGGAGTAAGGGAAGTTGACGATTGAAAAGTTAAAGCCATCACCTTTATCATTAAGGTATGTTGTTGGATAATCATTAACGTCCTTTTCTAGCACAGATCCATACATGAAACAGATGTTTCAAACTCTATGTTGTCTTTTATTTTAAGCTCACCTGGATATATCGTGTCGACATAAGAATGGAAATAACTACAGTATTGTTAATTGACATTGTGTATTAGGGTTATTGTGTAAGC